TGCAACATAACAAAATTGAAAAAAGTGAAGGGGGTCTGAATACTTTCCGAATGCACTGTATGTATATGTACACACACATGCACACACATATATACATATACACACACACATACACGATTGATTGAGGCTTATCTGCTTCTCCAATCCCAAAGGACTCTGGGTTGCTTACATTTATCTCTTACAGAAAGAAGCTTAAAAAATCAAAATAACATGACAATTTACAGTTACATCTGCAATTACAAAAATAGCACTTGGAGAACAATCAAACAACAAACAAGAATTCATGGTGGAGGTTCACTACTAGCAGTTCTATTCCCAGGCCCCTGTTTAAAAAAAAATGCAATGGCTTTCCTAAAACTTAGCAAGATGGAAACTAATCTGATTTTATGATTGTTTCAAAGAGGAGGGATGCATTTGTATTCAGCCTTTCTTCTAAGGAATTCAAGAAACTTCATATAAAAAAGGCAATATAGTAGCACTCTAATTTAGGATAATGTATTGCCATTCAAATAATCGTGCACATGTAGCTATCTCATTCACACAGCTATCAGTTATGCTATTGATATCTGCTGCTCATAACACATAGACACTTTTCACATTTGCACGGAGAGGATGGAGGGCTGCATGTACCCCCCCATACTTCACACTAAACTCCTGCTACAATCTTATAACTAGTAAACAGATTTGTGTTTGGCTAGTTATTAAATTCTAGTGGTGTGATTGGTGTGTTTGCATTCCACACCAAACCAAGCCTGACAGTAACTACATGGGTACCATCTCAGACAATACAGCAAACCATGGTCTGCTATGTTTCACCACCATTCGCCACATTGGCTAATAGCCCACCTACCTTTACAGTATCTGGCTGACTTACGGTACTTTTTTTCATTGTCAAAAATAAATAAAATGTAATGGTTTAATTAAAATTGGAGTCCCCACTCAGCCCCCACCCCGTTCATGCCCATTTTACCTTCTTCAAATCTACAGGGGGTAAAAAAAAGGGGTGAGCACAAGCCCTGTTTTGTGGTTATTCTAAGCCTTCAATCTCTTCCTCCAGAGGCTGGAACAGAGAATTAACCAAAGCACAGTGTCAATGCAATCTCACCCAAATCAGTATCATTTATTTCTCTGTGGCAAGACAGGATTATACCATACACTTATTTGCAACTGGGAGACATACCGGTGCTGCTTCTTAAGAGGAGCTTTCTCTGTCATCTCTGGCATAGTTTGAGACAAAAGGATCTAGGAAAACAGAAAAAGCTTATCACAACTTTTGAAGCTACTGTATCAACTGCAGTCGAAAATGCGTGGTTTTTCAGCAGGCTTGTTCATCTGTATTTGTAGCAAACCTTTCACTACAATTTTGAGATATTTTTTACATTAGCACAATCAACCCATCAATGAAACTGTCAAAGGTGTTAGCATACCTCTGCATTGAAGGAGAGGCACCAATGCAAAGCCTCTCTCTTTAGCTACCTGTATACTATTTATACTCACCACCAAACTATTTACAAGCCTGTAAGCATTCTACTTCTACAGTGTTCTACTTTATCCAAAAATGCTTCAAATCTTAGACTAATACAATTTACTGAAATGCCAAAAGCCTTGTTTATATTTTAAAATTTCAGTAATTAGAGCATTTATACTTTTAAATGCAAATAGAAAGTAGAGGAAGACAGAAGATGAACCCTTAAACTCATTTGCAATGGCATTCTAAAGTAAAAATGGTAAAACAAGTTCTGCTTTATATATACTAGAAACAGTATATAAGTATAAAAATACTTTTTATTTATAAATTATTATTTTCTTGAATCTGCAAATCCTCTTGAAGTATTTGCCAGGAAGTATTTGCCTTTTACTACATGTGGCATTAGCCAGGGCTCAGCAGATTAGTTTCTGTGGACTTTTTCAATTTTCTGGTTTTTGAAGAGGGACAATACATGTGAATTATTGTTCCACATTTGATGGATTAGAAAACATAAACTGTAGAATACAAAAACACAACTGGGCAATCAACAACTTGAAAGAACATTTGCATGCTTCTGTGAAGCTGGCACATATTATCTCAAATAACATGACTGGCAGAAGCAGATCCCAACTGAGGATTTTATTTCTTGTTTCTAACAAAAGAAACTATACATGTCTTGTGCATATTAAATCCAGTTCAATATTGGAACATTATTGGATTTACAATGCCGAAATCAATACAGAAACTACGGTGTTAAGAAAAATACACTGACAAGCATTTAATTGGAGAAGAGCAGACAACACAGCCATACAAGAATGGGGTTAAAAGTTTGGCATAAAGTATGAAATACAGATAGATCATTAAATTGTGGGATAATCCAAGCCAGCAACATAGTTTACTTTAGGTATCAGCCACAAAAGCAAATTCATGAGAAGGCTGCCTAAAAAGCCATATTTTTGGGTCATTAATGTCTGAAGTAATAATAACATTCAGTTTTAAATTTAGTGTAAAATACATGCAATAACTTTAGTGATTCTGAGTTTTACTAGTTAATAAAACCTGTATTAGCCTAATATTAACCTAAATAGCAGTGCTATTTCAGGATGTTTGTTAAAACTTGTTTAACCTTTCCTCAGATATGCTAGTGTTAGGTGCAGAATATATATAAAATCAATACATAAATATGAAATACTTCATAACAATACAGTCATGCAAATGTTAATAAAGAATTTTTTTAAAAAAGGAAAAACTTGCCTGAAAACATAAAAATAAAACCAACAACTCAAGGAGTTCTAATACATTGCTAGATAATCTACTTCTATGCTTCTCTGTCTAAAAAGAATCAATTCAAATATTTGCAGATCAAGAATCTTGATTCTTGGCTTGCAGATCAAGAATCCACTGCTACAAATCATGCTAGATATGTTCAAAAATTCCATAAGCCATAGATAGAATATAGAGGAATATATACATACTTAGAGACAAACAATGATAATATTATATTGAAATTCGTATGTATTTTCATATCAAATGTATCAACCGAAGTCAAGCCGAAACAACACAGGAAGGACAAATTTAAGTTAGAAAGTAATTTGACAATAAATAAATAGGAGGTCCCTATCAGTAGTTCCCTTTAAGTGTTCTGTACTTAGCTTATCTGTTAGCCAACAAAAGAAATCAATCTTTCTACAGGTGGTGGCCGCATAAGAAATCGAAGGGAAAATTAATGTAAATCAATCTGGAATCAAGACATGCTGGCTTGTGGCACATTTCTTTCCTTGAAATCTAGCATACACATTTATTAAATGCAAGCTTGTAGAGGAGCACAGAAAAAAAGGAGAATGGAACAGCAGGAGGCCACACTTCAGCTTCTCAAGGTGGATGAGGATTTTTGGAACCAAATGCAAGAGCAACTGCAGCAGTAAATTGATCCAGAAAGTAACTTTCCACAAGCAGAAGAACCATATGGAGGAACATGCTCAGTGGATGAGTGCTACTGACAGAGGCAAGAGATTTACAATATATTCTTCACCATGCATCTAATAAATCACTTTCAGGTTGCTACAGGAAAACTAGGACAGCCTACTGATATAAAGCAGGCAAGAACGCAGAGCTCAAAGATAAGAAAAAATGTAATTACTTTCTGAAAGACAAAGAAAATAATTATGGTAATTAGTATTCATTCTTGTGATAAACAGAAACAAATGTATGCTTAGCAGATTTGTTCATTTATGAAGTGTGCTATCTGCCAGAATAACAAAAATACTTCCCAAGTTTCATGAAGTTCACCAACAGTTGTCCTTCCTGATTATCCATATGGACAGGAACAACGCTACCAATAGCAATTATCACTATATTTATCTCTGACTCTTTGAAACTCCAAGGAGAAAACTCAAGCACCTGCGGTGTTGGGTGGTATTTTCATCTATCTTCCACTTCATAGAAAAGGACAAGAAAGAAAAGAATACTGCAGGTGAACAACTGGATGCAAAAATAATGTCAGCATCAGAAAATTGGCTTCTAGAATTATGGCCCTTGCTTTCTGGATGAACAACTTCTGGCATGAGATGGCTGCATTTCATAAAACTGGAAAAAATATGTTTGGCCCAGCATGTGAGCATGAACAGGAGAGCTTTTCACTGAATTCCATTTGGTGGGATTGAGTAGACATGAAAGCTCCAAACTAATTAAATTAATTAGTGAAAAATCAGAAAGGACATTTTCTCATAAATGTCAGTGCCCCTTTTCTCTATATATGCTCAAAGTAAGAGAAATAAGATGAACCTTAACACAGCAAGGCAAATACTTTTAAGGACTCTCATGACTGGAATATAACTGAAGGATATAATGTAAGGAACAGAAGCGATAAAAAGACAGATGTCAGCCTTGTGAGGTAGTCCAGACAAGAACCACACCCAGGAGTACTAGCTGTATCTTTATTATAAGGTTACATTAACAGAATCTTGCAAGTCTGAAAGTACATCTCTCCACCCTTGCCTTTACAGTCCAAGAAACTAGGGAGGGTCCCTTCTGAGACATTTGCCACGTCCACATTTCTTCTGCAGACTCAGCTGCCTCTTATCTGACCATTACCTAGTCTGTGGCTCTTTGTCCTATCTCCCAAAGTCATTTCCACATACCATTATATCAGCAATCACAGCATATATGGAAAATGTCCACATCTGTGCATAAATCTGGGCTGCATACTACTGTAAAGCATAAAGGTGCACTGTACTTCCCAAATTTTGCTCATTTTCACTTCCTGTACACTTTTGAACAAAATTCTGAAAAACACTTTCCCAGGCACATTTTAAATGTCCAGCATTTCCATATTCCTTCTTTCTAATACTTTTTTATAGGGCTTGAACTTTCTCTTCCTTCTTGCAGTTTCACTACATTGTTTTTTCACTTCTTTCCTTTAGTTCTAGGTCACATTTTTTCTAAAGATACACTACCAACAAATGATTGATCCCACATTAAGAATCTCTAATCAACTTTGTATCCTTCACTAATTCTCTTAATCTTTTATCTGAAACAATCAAATCAATCATACTTTCAGATTCTTTCATTTGCTACATGTACACATGAACAGATTTATGCTTAAAACAAATATGTGTGTGTGTGTGTGTATTAAGCAAATACTCACCAAACAATCACCATTCTCATTGTCACTCATTCACCTAAGAGAGCAACTTTGTCCCCTGAGATTGCATTCATCCAGAATCTTGAACATTTTTTCTCAATACCCAAACTTACCTTTTTCATTACCACCGCCCACTGGACCTAATACAACTACTACCAACCTATCCATTCCTACTTTCATACACATCTACAACAATGCAGACAAAACCAATTCCTACTTTAGGACGTAACTGTATTTTAGCCCATTCACGCATAATTAAGCCTATACCTTCATTTTCATGCATGCATTCATCAAATAACTGTCATGGTGGGTTCTGCCTTGACCCTTCTCCTGGCCCTTCGGGATGCTTTTTTCATCCTTGTTCACCTTTGATCTTTTTTAAGAGCCACACAACTGGCCTTGAGGAGCAGAAACAATCCCTTGTGAAAGTGCCCCGAGAGAGAAGCAAGTAGAAGGAAAAGAACAATATAGTGCCCAAGGAAACAACAAAAGAAGGACCAAGTAAAAGGAAAAAAATATTAGAGGAGGGGGGAAAGAAACTCACTATTGAAAACAAGAGTGACAGTTAAACGGAATCTAAGACAGGCTTAGAAGAGCCAATAGAGAGGGGGGTTTTTTAGCGAGAACCGCAGCTATATGATTTCACTGTCTCTTGGAAATATTAACTCAAAATGTACATGGCTTTTTTCCTTCTTTTTTAAGATGGTACTGTAGTTAGCTGTTAGGTTATTAACTCCGTGACTAGTTGTAGTACATTATTGTGGGTTGGTAGTTTGTAAAAGAGGAACTTTTCATTAAAGGATAAAAGAGTGCTGCTGTTGCCACCACTGAGAGCAGAATAATGGCAGAAGATTGGCAAGCTGGTGAAGGTGAGGCATGACTGCAATTGAGGCTCAGGATGACATGCAGCAGATGTCAGACCCCAAAAACAGGGCTGACCAAACTGAACAAGAACTTTTGAAGTATGCCCTCTGAGTGAGAGCTGGAGGGAGGCTCCTGTTGAAGACACTGCTCTTTTAGTGGACTTGGGAGGCTCCCAAGAAAGAGATTTTTATTGGGTGGTGTCTATTCTTCTCTCTCATTACATCTCCAGATTTCCACGTGGCAGCACTGCTCAGAGGGGGGTAAGAT